AAATTCGATTTTTGTTCGTATGACATTTTCTTATAATAATACCTGCATGTAGAATACCCGGCTACTGGTGTAGTCATTGTGAGATGAAACTCTTGTCGAATTCTCCCGTACCCTCGACTGTACATTATGGAGTTTTCTAAAAAGCAACAATAATACATATTTATGTCGATCATTAATTTGTTACATTAATTTATATATATACGTATATACTTCATGTAGATACATAAGTCTTCTTTTAAAAAGTTCAGACAAACATCATGTGTAATTAATTAAATCGAGGGAGAATTATGACCAGATCGTGTTTCTCGGTGCACAGCACTTTATACTGATTAACGTAAGAGGTTAGACAATAGATCTCAGGTTTAACGAGAAAATCATCAGTTTAATGTGTCTACGTGAAATATATACTCATCAATATTTATTCATTTAAATAAGGATCAAAAAAAGTAAGAATTCATAAAACTCTAAAAAAAAAAAAAGAAAAAAATCTCCCTGAAACAAGAATAACCAATGGCTTTTTATTTAACAGTTTGTATCTACCGAATTAGAAAAATAAAACATTACAAATCAAAATTATTTCCTTCCTCTTTGCAGATTCAAGGTTTACATTCGCGAGTTAAGTAATTCGAAACTAATATGGCATTATTTGAAAAAAAAAAGAATTAATAGACTGAGTCAAACATTTATTCATCTTTTTAAAGTTAACGTATAATGATACTTGGATTAAATTAAATGTTAATTATGATAATTAAAGCAGTAATCTATGAAAAGCTAAAATACAATATATTATATATTTTATACATAACTTACCTTTTTCTTTTTTTGAAGAGAAAATCATTATTTGTACATACAAATACTTACATTGAACAATAGATGACACGAATATAAAGGAAACCCAATTTCAAAAAGATGAAAAGCTGCTAAATATTTTGTCCCAAATGTCAATTGTAAAATTCCGAAAATACAATAAAAATGCACCTGTATGTATATTTTCTGCCAAAAACAGATATCTTATGTATTTAAATTGACTTTTAAAATTAATTATGTTAAAAATGGTAAATAACTATCTTTTTCTTATATTTTTAAGATCATTTTAAAAAAAATAGAATAATAGATGTCTGTAAATATTCATTCTAAATATAATTTGAAAACAAAGTTTTCTACAAGACTTAGTCATGTACTTATTGGAAATTGAACATTATTTATTATCATTTATAAGTTAAAGACAGTATTTAAATATGCACGACGATCTGGTATTTTGGCAACTTATATTGTCTGATTTTTGGAAAGAAAAGGGATATTTTATTTCTTTATATGCAAAACTCTACTATATAAAAAACTGACTGGCTTATGATTTTTTTTTAAATGATCAAATCATTATTATTTCTCAGAAGTTGTGTTATACATACTGTTGAAATCTGATACACATATTAAAAAGAAATATGAGAAAAACTATGACTCACGATAATCGTATATATTTTACCTACTTTCTGGATCAAATTTTACACTAGTCCAACAACAGATGCCGTTATTGTGTGGGGTAAGGAGTTAAGATGATTCTTCTGTGCGTTTTTATATTGGTCATCTCGTCCTCAGAAGGTAAGCCATTCATTTAATTTTTTTCTATCACAAGAAATACAAATATTAGTCCTCTCCAAAGAAAAAAAATGTTTATATCTGTCCTTGAAGAAAATTAGAAAATTAATTTCATTAAAGAAATCTTGATAAAACAAAACCCAAATCATTAAAATTAATAAAGAGGATTGATTTTTTTCACATGAATCGAAAACCATCAAAACCAATGGGCCTCGGAAGTTACATATTTTTCGTCACAGCACTATACAAGCGGGTAAGATCTTTTCGGGCTTTTCTGGTCTAATTCATGAAAGTTTTATATAAATTTTATTCAATATTTTAATATCCCATTCATATACAGACACTCAGCGAGACAGATATTGGGAAAACCCCTTGTTTATCCTCGTTATGGTGATTTCAAAGGGACATGGACACCGTCAGCCAGCCAACTAAATTGGAACCAGTTTATACAGGTTCAAAATCATATCAAGAAATGTTAATTATGGGTAAATTTATTTAGAGATTGTCATGGACTATATTGATATAACGAACAGTATTCAACCTCAAGATTCCTTTCTAACACTATAAATCTGGAGCAGAGAAAACATAGTACTCTAGAACATCAGAGATGGAATCAGGTGTCATGGAGGAGTGAGCATACCCCTTGCCTACCGATTTGTTTCTTTTCCTTAATCAAAAGTCATAAACAGATTTTAAAAAATGTCTTTGCATCGTGATAAACAATGAGAATCGATCCACAGCCGAACGATTTCTTAAAGTAAAGGAAGTTTCATTCCTTTTAACAAATTCAAAGCTAACACTGTATAAAAGCTAATGTTAAAAAGGTAATATTTCAGGAATGCCTTTGTTTTGTTTCTAGGTCAGATTTCCAGAAAAGGTTTGGATGTCTGAGGTCAATATTTATGAAACGTATAATGCCGGAACTGTCAAGAGAATACTGGCGAGGGATAAAGAAAACCAGTGGATTGAAATTTTTAAGGTTTTTCCGTGTACACCTAATCAGAAAGGCTAGGAAATTTTCCCCAAAAATAAAAGTGAGTTTTTTAGAATGTATTTTTGTTAAAGTATATAAAACAAAATCATTCATGCTCGTTCATTTTAATAACTTCATGTTATAAATGGCAATGTTTTTCCTTCTTAGTTATCAGTCCCCAACCGATTTCCCCTGAGTCTGCCCGTCCGTCCGTCCGTCTGACACTCACGGATACCAAATCTGCAAGCGTTTAGAAAAAAGTGCGGAAAACCAAGGAGGACAGACTGACAGACAGACACAGGACAGCTAGACGGACGGAAAGACGCAGAGAAAACATATAGCCTCCTCTGGTTTCACCGGAAGGGGACTAAAAAAGACCCGAAAATATAATTGTCATTTGATCTCCTTCGCTCTTCTCAGTCGACATCGTTTCAGCATGCAACAAATGATTTGTAGATCATAAAATTGTCAACATTTAAATATTTCTTCATGAACTCTTAATTGTTCCTCATTGTATCCAGAAAGTGAATTTCTTCTGTCCATGTTTTACCATTCCTTTTTCCTTATCAAAGGCGAATGCCCTGAACAATATAAAAAAGATGTGGGATTCTTGTTATCTGATCAATAAGGATAAGGTGTCAGCTGACACAGCGTTTGTAAGTAAAAACAGATATACAAATTATTTAAGGTAAACTATATTTACTCTTGACAAAAATAAATATAAATTATGTTAAATGTTTTTGTTTATATCCTTAAGGCCAACTGTTTAGACACCGGTGGCTACCTGGCTAACTTTGAAACTCTAGAAGAGGCTTTGCGAATGAAAAAGGTTCTAAAGAAAATGAACACAGGTATGGAAAATAATGAAAAAAACTATACATTTTAAAGTTACATATGTCTCTTCTTTGAAAATTTTAAATACTGTATGCTCTTTTTGTCCTCAATTGTAAGGAAAATACACTTTTCATGTTCCATTTTTTTTAAATTTAAGTAAGAAAACCGGAAGGGGACTGGAGGTGGATCAAGCATGGACATATGACCAAGATGACGTATCACGCCTTTGGTGCCGGAGAACCCGATGGATCCGATAAGTCTCCCCAGGACTGCATGTTCTTTTATGCAGGAGAGCGGTACACGTTCCACAATACCCCTTGTGATAGAGGCGGACATCCTGGTGGTTATATTTGCGAAGTATGAATATTAGTACATGTACTGTCAAATGGAGTATAATGCAATAAATTAAAAGCATTTAACTCTTTTTCTGTTTTCTATGTCAATAGACCAAGTGACCGTTGTTTCTCAACAGTTCACGAATTACACGCAAAATATGTTTTAACAAGATATGTTGGTGAAATTCTATGCGACCGGTGGCAAGTTCGGAAAAAAATATTTTAAGCATATAGGTCACAGTCAAGGTCACAAGGTCATTGATCTTGGTGCCGTTTGAAAGAGCTAAATTACTGGAGCATGCATACAAAATATGAAATCTCTATCTCTTACTGTTCAAAAATTATGACGAAGGTTAAAGTTGACAACGGGCAGACACACGGTAAACAGATAAGCAGACAAACAGAAAGACAGTACAAAAACAATATACGCCACGGATCTATCGATCCGGGCGCATACAAATGTTTCCCTTCTTATGTTTGAATGTTTTATTTAATAATGCATATATCTTGTACACCAAAATGTTTTCCATCCTTCATGAAACTCAAATATTACATTACAAATTATCACCTCTATAATTAGACTAAGTATTGGTATCGTAATTTGTCCTTATTTTCTCACAACATACATGTACGATTGAAAGAAATGTAAAGATAATGAATACTGACCATGCCCTAAAGACCATTTGAGGTCATACGCAACGTAGTTTGAATGTCATTGGGTTCTTTCCTGGAGTTGAAGAGTTCCACTAAATGAAGGACCTGTGTGCTATACTTTTAATGTCTATATAAGGATTTGTAAAGCTCTTGTAAAACAGATTTTGAAGGGGAAAAATCTGAAATTCATGTTTTGTGTATATTTACGACATAAATGAACGAAAATAATCATTGTTAAGTGATAATATAGCTAAATGTTGAGTTGAAGGCCAATGTAAGTATATTCTCTCAAGTATGATATTTTAATTGAAAAAATTCTGTCTCATACGAATACAAAAATAGTTCTGCTAGTAACAGGGTGCAATTTAAGTACCTATGGAATTCAAACAGATTGTTGGAAGTCTTCATCTCCAAAAAGTGTACATACGAGGGTTGTCCCAACATTTCGTAGACTGAGCTCATATCTTTTAAAGAAATTAATGTATCTTAATAAAATTTTCAGGGTGGATAAAGCGTGTTCTTGGCAGATAAATTACGAAGTTTTATGATGTTAACTTGAAAACTTTTCGAGTAATAACATTTAAAGTGATATCGTTCTCTAACACCCGGAGCAATCTGCAACGTCAAAAAATACAAATGTCAACAGTTCAAATTTTTGGAGAAAATATTTCAATTACCAGAATCTAATTCTTAAATTAAGCGAAACGGTTATAGTTAGAAATGTGAAATAGCTTAATAACTATGAGTTGATCAAACATTAAAATATGTAAACAAAGTATATGCAAGTACAGGTATGAAATAATAGTAATTTGAAAACGCTACATTTCTACGGGCTTTTCGTCTGTTTTCTCTAAGGGAGTAGCACAATGCAACTCTTGCCCATTTCTTGGCCCCGTCTTTTATTTAAGCTACTGTTATTTACATATACATAGAGAAACCGTTTTAATCATTTTAAATACTCAGGATGAGAAAAAGTTTCCTAGTCTACCAAACCATTATGACTGGTACATTTTTGTAAGAGTGAATTCGGGATCAAAACACTTGATCATAGTCCAGTGCGCCGCCTGTGCCAACGCAGCCGCCATTTTTCAGGAAGTCAGATTTCAACCTCCTGTATTTAAAACGTTATAAAAATCATATTTATTAAAGCATAAACACCAAAATTTGGGGAAATGTAGTTAATAGAACAGTATTAAGAATTTTCATTTCCATTAAAAAAATACGGGGTAGTAATTACGTTTCCGTAGGATTTTAAATATAATATACCAAATTTTAATTGCAACTCTTGGGTATTGCGCCGCCTACCTACACCAAACAATGAAATGTGTCTTTTAAATTGGAATAATTTGTGTAGTTACTCCATATTTGTCCATAAATTTATTAGATAGTGTTGGTTTAATCTATATACGAAGTTTCATTAATGTATGACATACGGTTCCTACAAAACAACGCTTGTCTACGGAATTTTGGGACAACCCTCGTATATTGTCAACAACAAAAAAAACTCCAACATCTTCTGAAATTCGTCTTCAGAGAAATTGTTTGAGGGTGTGGTGTGTGTGTGAGGGTGGTGTGTGAGAGGGTGTAAGGGTGTGTTTGTAAGGGGTGTTGGTGTCTGTTTGAGTGTGTGTGTCTCCTTCTGTATGTGGGGGTATGCAAATAACACTTGTACACAATTTATAACAAACAACTGGAAAGGTGAGTTTTCTGACGAGAAAATTTGTCAGATTAAGGACAGATGATACAAACAAAAAATGGATGCCTGGATTGGTATATATGTTTTGACCTAATTTCATTGCAAATGATGCAAATAATAAATTCCCAGAATATAAAAAAATTGTAAACCTTCTGTGACGTTCAAAATTCTACCCTTCTGAAACCATCCTTATTATTCTATACAAATATTTTTCACTTCAAATTTTTGTGCAACTTTGAATAAAAAAACAAAAACTACGCGATAAACTTATTCATTTTATTCATTTAAACATGACCCAAGTTGTTATTTTCAACATTTTTGGCAAAAATTTGTTTGTATCATCTGTCCTTTATTGAGGAAATAATCCTTGAACAATTCTAGTTTTTCTTCATAATAAATTCAACTGAGAGCAATATCATAGATCTTCCAAATCAAAGGTTATTTAATCCGTTACTTTTCACTGAAGAAAATGCAGCTAGAACAAGCCGGGTTTTTTTTCTTAAACTCCAATATGCCAACAAAGAAATTGACGAAGTTAATAAAAGAAATATTCTTTTTACAAAAGGGTCCAGTCCTGTATTACATTATATTTCAAGTTAAATTATTAAGTTCATATTTCAAGTTAATTACCCTCCATTGTGTTCATATTCATCATTGCCCTTCAACTGCATGTATAGTCCTGCTGGACACGTTATTACGTTATAAATATAGGTAATAATGATGACCTTAGATCACTAATTGTAAAAAATTCTAAAAATAGGGGACCCCGATCCTTCAACTGGGGTCGTAATTTCATTAATATTATATGAATTCTGTAGAAGATTACCCAGGGAGATGGGAAAGACATGAGAAAGAAAACCTTGACACTTTGTCAAAATGGATTGTTTAAATATATCAGATGTTTGTTAAAATGGCACATTAAAAGATTGAGGTGCAATATGAAAACCATCTATTCTTCTGTATTCAATAATCCAGAAGTAAAAAAAATAGATAGATTACATGGTCAGCACGGACTGGTCCCTGCTGTCAATGCAGGTAACAACACTGTCTTGTAACGCTTATTATATAAAATGTATTATATAGGAACTTGGATTTAATTCTACAACTTCTACCAACTTTTAATCATTGTTCCCTTTTTAAGGAATAAATTCTCCGAAATCATATGTCAGTTTTAGATATTATTTTCATTTTTCAAACAATCAAAATGAATTTGAATTACCAAACCTATATTTGATTCTGAAACTTCATAGAAATCTTTACACATACACATACATAGCAGTTCTAGTAAATGTTCAACAAAGACCCTTTTTACTCCTCATTAAGATATTAACAGTAGTGAAGGAGAAACTTCAAAAGTACTGAGCAACAATATATTCAAGAAGTGGTGTGAATCAGATGTGGATACTTAAAAATTTCAAGGAACTTTTGGAAATTTTGAAATTACAAAATTTTACCAAATACATCAGCATAAAAACATGACTTTTCAACTTTATAAACAACCATTTCAAACGATAAATTAAAGTCCAGGCTGTTGATATCATTTACAGCTAAAATATCAATAAAAATAGAACACGTAAATTTACTTACCTTGTCATTGGTCATTTGCAAAATTATTTTGTTAAATAACATTCTGATTGTACACAAAAGTATTCTGAAGTTGATATTAAAAAGATGTCTGAGTTTCTGACAATACAAATGTAATTTTTGGATACCAGGTCTTTCAACAATCTATTGGATTTCCCATTGGTATTAATTTTGCACTGCTAGTAGCAGACCTATTTTCGAATTCATATGAAGCAGAATTTCTCCAAAATCTTAAAGGTGAAAAAAAAGAAAACACTTGCGGTGGCCTCCAGCATTTAGATATCTCGACTACGTTTTGTCTATTACCAGTGTTTATTTCTATTTTTATGTCGATGTGATATTTTCCCGTAAACTTGAAATAAAAGATTACACAGAGTCTGATACATTTTTTTATATGTGCCATAATGGGATATTTTACTTGAAAAGGGCATCAATGGTAAGCTACATGTAACATCCAAGTTTTATGATAAACGTGATAACTTTAAATTTTGAATCGTTCTCTTCCCTTACTTATGCAGTAATATACTTTCATTACCTGCTTCACGGGGTTTATATTTCTCAGTTGATTCGATACGCAAGAGCATGCTCTACGTATGAAAAATATCTAAAACGAGGTAAATTATGGACAAACATGTTGATGAAACAAATTAAAGCAATTACAATATATCAATTTATCATGCTGACAGACGCTTTTCATTCTAATTAGTAAGCCATTATTAACACACTGAATTCCCGTTATTTCCCCAGCATGACAAGGAGGATACAGCGGGTAAGACCAGTCGGCAGGGTGTGTTCTCTGGCAACGCACTTTGATTTTTTTTTTATTTGCAACGAACTCGAGGCACTATGAAAAAAAATTCAGTTTGATAAAAAATATGTATAAAACAAAAGTAATGGACTTAGATAGATTTAGAAATAAAGAGCATTAATTTGTTATAATTATACATTTTGAAAACTTTTAAATTGATTTATTCTTATTGAGAACGGGAGAAGACGGAAAGATCTCTAAGCTCGTCTTTATTTTCCTATGCATTTCGGTAGTGAATTGAGAGAGGGGTTAGGGCTAAACCCAAACAATGCCTATATTATGTATATCGTTGCAGAAAAGCGGGGTTAAGCACCATAATCCAAGCCCTCCCCGATTCCGATGCTTACGATACATCCAAATAAAATGTATTTAAATAACTGAGATGACGTTGAAAACTTTCAATAAATTTGAGTTAGTGTAAAACACATGAAAAGTTATAGACTAGATAAAAAAGTGTTTAACAAGCATTTCTCCATTATCTTTTAAAGACTCATTTTTATTTCTAACATTTACGAGAAACTGAAATATTTCAAACATCTATAACTCAGAACGAAGTTATCGAACCAGGTTCAATTATTTATCATACCTAAAGCAAGAATATTGACCAAGCCTTGCACATTTTTTCAAAATGTGTTAACATTGTGTTAATATTGTAGATATTAACGCATTATCAAAATTTAATTTTATTTTTTTCAAAGTACGTTTGATTAAAAAAAAATCAAAGTGCGTTGTAACAATGTTCACTCCTCCATAGCACCTGATCCCACCAATGATGTTTTTGGGGTCCGTTTTTGCTCTTCTCCAATTTTGTTTAATGGAATTTTAAGCTTGAATACTGTTTGTTATCTCAATATGTATCATAGAGCACCTTTAACCATTTGATGGTTAATTTCTTAAAGCTCAAAAATTCTTAATTCGAGAAATAAAATTCTAGACGTGGTATCAAAATCTTTTCCAGAAATATACATGTAATATAATATATAAATACAAACTATTTTTTCTGAGAAAGGTTTACTATTGGTTTCCTTTGCATTTTTTTCATTATCAATAAAAAGGTGGGTAGTCATATAATAGATATGATTTAAAAACTTGTTTCAACATTATTTGTAGTATTTGTGTAAACAGCGTTTATATCGATGAAATTTGATAATGATGCCGTCATTAAAAAGAAATATGAGAAGTGTTTTCATCTAACATTTTTCTATCTGTGTAAAATTTTAACACTGGTCTGGCATTAGACACCATTATTGTGCAGGAGGCAGAGAGCTATGATGATTCAATCGTGCGTTTTAATATTGATAGTCTCTTTATCAGAAGGTAGGCTAAATTTATCTCTTTTCAAAATCACAAAATAAATTGGTAGTAATTTTCTTAATTTAATTTTCTGAAACAAGAAGTTTTCCTATTATACCTATCAAGTTCAAAAATATGATTTTTTTTTTTTTTTTTTTTGAAATGTTATATTCAGTATATATTGCAGATTACTTTAGATAGTCGACATATATATTTAATAATACATATTAACATCCACCTTGAAAGAAAAGTGAAAATGAAAGTTATTTAATGAATATTGTAAAAGAATTCGCCTTTTAAATCTTTATTATACAAGATTCATTTTTTATTATGTAAAACGACAGCGAGCAGAAGACAATGGGCTTCTGAAGTTACGTCATTTTCGTCACAGTACAACACAGCAGGGTAGACTCACTTTCACTTAGTTTTGATTTTAATTTCTGTTGCATTCTATCTTTTATAAATTTAAAAACACATTAAAAGTTATTACAAATTATATATAGACACTCAGCAAAACAGATATTAGGAAAACCCAATGTTTATCCTCGCTATGGTAATTTCCCAGGGACATGGACACAGGCGGGCGGACAACTGAATAGAATCCATTTTATAGAGGTGCTATTTTATTTCAAGAAATATGTTTAAATAAATGGGAATACTAGACAGTTTTCATTGGCATCCGTTATTATTTTTTTTTCTTATATGTTAAGTATAACAAGAAGACATTACCCGTCATAAACTGTTATAAAGTTTCTTGTTGGATTGAATGTCTTATTCTTTTTACAATCTTTAAGCTAATACGGACAAAATCTTATTTATAGAAATCATTTCTTACATGTACATGTGTGTTTTTTTTTTCTTTTTATCAGGTCAAATTTTCTAGAGAAAGTTTAGATAACTAATTTCATAATTTACTTAATTTATGTTTTTTTCTTACACAACCAGGTCAAATTTTTAGAAAAGGTTTGGTTAACTAAAGTTAATATATACGAAACTTACCATGCTGGAGCTGTGACGAGAATTTTGGCCAAGAATGAAGAAAAGCGATGGGTTGAAATATTTAAGGTTTCTCATGCACACTTGATCGGCAAGTCCAGGATTTTCTCCCCCAAAATAAAAGTGAGTATTCATGGCATTTTTCTAACAATAACATATAAGTGAAATATAAAAATATATAAAATAATAATACTTTTCTCTTCGTAATTTACAAATTCGACATCGTTTAAGTTTGCAAGAAAATATTAGACCTAATAGACCTTAGAGGTAATGAAATTTTAATCAAAACTTTAAACTGATAATTCTTCTATTAAGAGCGTGAATTTCCCTGTGAACGAGCTGAGAATCGAAGTTGATTGTGATTGTTCTGTCTCCCGCTCATATGTAGAGATTGACGCAGTTGAAATCGTTGGAGGTATTTATATACAGCTGGTTCAAAGTTGAAAATTTAAAGGTTAAAGAATCTGGGGGGATTAGGCGAGTCATATGCCCACATGGGTTTTGTCGCTCTGTAAGCATATCGGAATAGTCGTACGATTTACCTAAACATTTAAACTTTGTACAGCACTGTCCAAATAACAATATCTACATTTCTAAACCTTGCTGTTATCGTTACAGTACTTTTAACATGTGATGCTTTTCATACTGCGTGTTAATTGTTCTATCGAATATGTTTTCAGGGATTTGGAGATGGTACACTTTACCTTACCTTTTAACCGTTTTTGCATACGGAACAGCCATACCGTGCTGGTCTACCCATGATTGTTTACATTTCAATTGTACAATGTAGTCTTGAACTGAATGCATTCAAAGTGTTATACATCTTGAAAACTTGTTTATTATAGGAAATGTATTAATTGACCGTAAATGAATTCATTATCTTATTTTTTCACTTTGTTTTTAGTGAAAAAATATATTTATTATCTATAAATTTCAACCTGAACAAAAAATCGTGATTCGAACACTCGCGACAAGTAACTGGGTGCTTCAACACCGCCGCTATGACCACTGAGCCACGAAGTCGCATTACCCTTTAAATAACGAACAGTTCTATATGTATAGCAAGCACACAATTTTAAGTAGGAAAACTAACTTTTTTATATAGAGTGGGTCTTCGTACTATTTTTTTGAAAATGGTGAGAGATACATCCTTCCATACCCTTTCAATATTTGTTTACAAAAAAATGGTACGAAGACCCACTCTATATAAAAACACAGTTTTAACATTCAATTTCTATCATTTTTACGGTTACTAAAGCGTGTTACCATTTTGGTGGGTTAATTACAATCAATTTCTAAGTCATTTGATTCAGGTTTTATCTTTACTGTATGCAGATGATTATAAATACGAGGGTCGTTAGAAAAGTTCGTGGACACATTGAATTACGGAAAATCTATTGTGTACTGTGAAGTATGACCTATGTCTGAATAAATTCCTACATTTTGTTTATTGGTATGCAAAAAATCAGGTCCATATAATAACATCTTGAAAATTTACAACGATTTTTACTATGAGGTCATGGGATTCACGGAGCAATCACTTGACGTAAGGCGACGTGACAACCAGATTTCAAATTAAGCTTTGTCTCAGTTCTATAAATCTTTCATTTCTTCGGATATATTTTTTCTACTTTAAAATTGAATATCTATATCAAGACATGTTACTTTTCTTCTATATAATGTCTTTTGTACTGATCCGGATATTATTGAGATCTTTAAAAAAGTATATGCAGTGAATCGATCAGGTATGGAAACTATGCAAAACCATATAGGCGCAACGCAACGTCCATGCGACGGGGGATATTGAAGTATCGATGGAGTTAATCATTCAAAATGTTAATCCTTCCATTCTTCTGAAGCTACAAACATTTGAAAACTTGTCCTTTGTAGGTGTAGGAAATTCCCGGCATCTTGAACATTTTAATCTCTTCTTAGACATTTTCTAGTCTGCATACATAATTTTTACGTAGTGCAGTACTCCATGACGCTCAATGACGTTCCGATTTTTGGCTGTGTTTTAAGCGTTGATCAGTTATAAACGGCTATAAAACAGTCATATACCCTCCAATTTAGTTCAAAATTTCTTCCAGTGACGTTTCATGAATACTTTAGAGGCAGGTTAAATATCATAAAACTCTTTTTGCTGTACAATTGTGCAATTTTTAATTTTAATATCGAGTCTTTGTGATGTTAACGTGCCAAAATGTAGTATGCTCCGTGAAGCAAGTTTTATCAAAATAAAAAAGCTGTATATTTTTCAATAATCATCGGGGAGCACCAAATTCTTGTATACTTATTGGAAAAAAGGTAAAGATTTTATTTTGAAAGTTTGACCGGTTTCGTGGAAATAGCGCGCTCACAATAGAACTTGTCCACGAACTTTTCTAACACCCCTCGTTACTCTCAAATTTAACAAAAAGTGGAATTTTAAGAATTTTTAAATTCGATATTTTACCTGCCCTTGCTTAGGCGTTTGACTCGCATAATCCCCCCGGATTCTTATTCATAAGACAATGTGGATTGTGGTAAAGGAATACTTCGATTCAGTTCGAGGATTTGTCACCGTATACATGTGAAAAGCTTTAAATTTAGACCTATGCTCAGCACTCAGAGCCTTTGAGCAGTGAAGTTTTTGTTATCGTGCCAACACCTAACAATTAATAAAAGATGACATATTGTAAATTTAAATTTAAAAGGAAAAAATCCAATCTTTTCACTATTTTTATAGTATAAAGCATCCAATGCCAGATTTCTTTGTTCGGAATGTTTGCAGCTCATTTTACTTCAATGATTCATTTATCTTTATAAATTTTTAAAAGACGATTGTCCTGGACAGTTTCAAAAACTCTGGGATTCCTGTTATCTGATTAAAAAAGATAAAGTATCAGCCGACACAGCATTTGTAAGTAGTCAGGATTTGAAATTGAACATAATCAATAAAAGCAAATCAATTGCATTAAAATCGTACTTTTGATAAAAATAACTTTAACCATACATCTGTTTGCATTATATCCTACTAGGCCAACTGTTTAGAGACTGGTGGCTACCTGGCTACCTTTGAAACTCTAGAAGAGGCTTTGCGAATGAAAAAACTTTTAAAGAAAAAGCATAAAGGTAAAGGATTGTAATAAGCGCAGTTTATGAGTTTCTTCTAATCATGTACTTCATAAACAGTTTCCTTACTTGTATGGATTGAAAACTATCGTAAATGTAATCTTTCCTTTTTTTCTTGGACGTTAAAATCAGGAATTCACTTCTACGTTGGAGGAAGAAACATAAACAGAAGAAAACCAGGAGGGGACTGGAGGTGGATCAAGCATGGACAAATGACCAAGATGACGTATCATGCCTTTGGTGTCGGACAACCCGATGGATCGGACCGTTCTCCCCAGGACTGTATGTTCTTTTTCGCGGGAGAACGGTACACGTTCCACGATGTCTGTTGTGATAATGGTACACACCTTGGTGGCTATATCTGTGAAGCATGAAAATTGTCGCTTTAATTATAATACAACATTGGAAAGTGATTTATCATTAATGTTTTTTTCTAACTGCCAGAATACCACCCTCCCCCATTTTTAGCTTGAAACGTTCCCTTATTTTTTGTCTTAATGCTTATTTTAATCTTTTTTTTTTTATTTTCATCGTTTCACATTTAAAAACACTTTTT